ATGTGGATCTCCAAACAGGAGTACGAAGAGGGAGGAAAGCAGTGTGTAGACAGGAAGTGCCCTTGATTTGTTATCCAGCCCCTCATTTTTCCATAAGCTCAACATCATGAGTCACCCAACCTTGACCCTGGACTCAGGAACGACCACAGATGATCACTCTTGTTTTGTATGATTTGTTTTAAAAAATATCTTAAGAGTCTGTCTGAGATTTTGAAATCAGACATCTGCAAAGTAAACTGTTGTTATGATGAAATGGGGTTTACTTTCCTTTGTTTGTCTCTTTACAGCCACTTTGTTACCTAATCTTTACATTGTCTGTGTTTTGTAGAAACACTCCATCTTTATAGAAAAAACAAATTGTCTGACATTGACAAAAACAAAATTTGAAGGTAAACTTTGGGTGATGTGTATTTGGAGGAACAACCTTTCAGTTTGGGGTGAATGATGTCTTCTGTTCATAAGCCTTTCTGTAGTCAGTACGATCGTCAGAGGCCAGACAGTTCTGGCCTCTGCTTATTGGTGTCAAGTCATATAAACCTGTATTTAATTTTCACTTTGCTTGTCATTGGCCACATATGGTGTTTTAAAAATAAAGTCAGTTTTTGTTAAATATGTGATGAAAGTATAATTTCTTGCTTTAAAATTGAATGTATTTTTTGTTCTAATTCTTGTATTACATGACATTTTTATAATGGTATCAAATTATTGTAAAGTTGCATTCTTAAAGGTGGGGTAGGTAATTCACTTCAGGAACACTGTTATATTCCATGGAATGCTCTTAACATCCCGATAGCAATGAATACATTAAATGTTTGCCAATAAATATATACAAATATTTCATCTGTGGAAGCCGTGGCGCTGTAAAAAGCACGACCAATTATCTTCCTCGTCAAATAACTGGATGGCCTACCTGCCTGTCAGCCTTCCATCTCGTGCACAAACCTATCTCGTGCCCTCATTGGTCATGTGCGCGTTCCTGTGTGTTGGAGGAGGGGCTCTGTAAGGAAGTCTGAAGGAAGGGGCAGATTTTTTTCGGTTGTGTACTTTCAAATTCGAGCGCACTCGAGCTGGTTTCTCCATTCTTACCTACCCTACCTTTAACTCAAATGATCCCAAAACTTGAAAAGGACAGTTCCCACTAAATGTACTGACCCTTTATATACTCATTTTAGGGACTAGTAAAACAAGATAACCAAAACTCAATGCATATATTTTAATAGTAAGTTAAAAAAAAGATTTCAGGGGGATGTAGAATAATTTATCTTCCAGGATCAAACAGCTGGACAAATGCACTTATACTCAACATAGGACACGGTTTCAGACAACTCAGTTATTTGACACGAGCAGATATCAATTGAATTCTAACTTTGCAGATAGATGCGGCTGTCAAAACTCTTTGATTGTAAAAAGTGCATTTTAATTTTTTTACGATGCAGAAACTTTCATTTGAGGGAACTTCTCCTTAAGTTTCGACCGATTTCCCCTCTGTAAGGAGGTGTACTTGGCCTTCGCTCGGAGATGCTTCTCCAAGCGCAGCCTGCAAGACAGAAAAAAATCATATATTTTTTTTCAAGAGAATAAGAATTTTATAATAGATAAGACATCTTGTACATCTACTAAAACTTATTTTAAAGAGTGATGTGAGCCGTATCTTACCTTATGTGTGGTTGGACAAACTTGGGTGTGAAGAACCTCTTTCGCTTATACCTCTTGTTCATGTACCAAGGAATAGCATATTCTTTGTAGCGATACCTGAGTAAAAGAAAAGAGTAAATTAAGCGCGTGCGGTGCAGTGGGTTGGTGTTCGGATCAGTGGGTCACAGGTTCAAACCCCACTGCAGTCAGCATGTCAATGTGTCCCTGGGCAAGACACTTCACCCCAAATTGCTCCTGTGGGGATTGTCCACAGTATTGAGTATGTAAGTCACTTTGGATAAAAGCGTCTAACAAGAGACATGTAATGTAAGCCACTTCCTGCATTTCATTTTCTAAAGCCTGGGCCCTTAGAGGTATGTCAATTATATAACAGACCACCTGCAGGAATAATATTTGTCAATGATTGCAGCATAACTTGGTGTGTTACCACCACCTGTTGATCAATGGAATAGGGTAAAACACGCAGGAGCACGCCCAGAACTTAACACTGGTATAACTTCTTCTATAAATCCTTCCTTCGACTGCTGCAAACGTATAGATCCACGTACAAGTCACGTAAACAGCCATGACGACGCTCTTCATCACTGTCTCCATCTCCTCGGTCTGTACAGAATTTGGTAGAAAGTGTCTGCCCCGAAACCCTCTGCAACAGGAACCCAAACTATCCAGTATGACTATTCTAGGGAATTTGAAAAGTATTTTAAAGAAAATCTGAAGAGAGCATCCTCTGTAATTGGCTCATTTGAATACGATCGCTTTGGCACTTATCTTAAAGGATCTGGGCTCTATTTTCTCTTTATATGAATGTCTGTCTGCAGCTATGGGTGTATTGCTGTTGAAAAAAACAAAATAGGGACCCATAGAAAAACTGCTCAGTAGTGCTACTGATCAATAACTCCACAGAGAACCTTTAAAATGTGAATAAATCGTGTTGCATTTCTCCATGTATACGTTTGATATAGCAAACAGGAGGATCTGCTCTCACCAGTAGGCGTATCCAAATATGTTCCTCCTCCAGGCTCCTGGCCGGCCTTTCTCCTGTCCGGTCTGCAGCAGCCGCAGCGCAGTCTCTCTCTCCTTCACCACCGTCTCCAGGCGGAACATGGACCGGCTCACCTGGGGGGAGACAGTGTGATTTATCTTAGCCAGGGCTTCTACTTAAACACACACAACAGTCAAAATACTACAGGTACAAACCCTGCAACCAACCTAGACTGAGTAGAAGACTAGGTCAAAGTCTGTCTATCAAATATAATGTTGAATTGCTACATTAATCAGGGTTTATAAAGCCTATAAAGGTACCTTAAGCAAACATTCCCAGACTCTTGAAGCCTTTATCCTCACATAGATTATTATACTAAATGCAATTAGGGAAATTCAAGTTAACATAATTATTTATACCCACAGAAATCAATGTGTATAGTCCCTTTGTGTTTTTCATTTGGCTTTTATTTAACTTTTGATAATGATTATTTAATGCCCAGCTAGCTTCAGTTCACTAGTGTTTGTGGCGAGATGACAGGTGGCAACAAATCAATATGACAAAGGTCTTGTTTCATTTCAAGTATTGAAAAATGTTAGGTTTACATGAGATATTGTGTCGATGGAACATTAGACTATATTCGAAGATGAGCATTTTATTCAAAAATGTTCCTATCCTTTAAAATTAAGATGTTGTAAGAGCATGATAGTGGAGCATCATACCAACCTTCTTTAATCTTTCTGGACTTGGCATCTGAAGCCTTTGCCTTCTCGACTCCTGTTCAAGTGAGAGCAGCATGTTCTTTTCTTTCAACAGCACATACCTGAGACAGAACGAGAGAGTTAAACACTGCTGAGAAATGTGTTTCATATGTTTGAAGCACCAGTGTGAACCTAACTGTTCTTACCAGAGTTTGTGCAAATCCTCATTGCTCTTCGTCCTCAGATGTTTGGCAGTCCATGGTGCACCTAAAACAAACACATTTCTATTAGTAAAGCTACATGCAGGCTGTAGAGACATTAGAGTAATAGAATACTTCTGTGTTTTACCTGACTTCACGTTGTTCTCTCCCCAGTTCTCAGGCAGGTCGAAGAACTCGTCCAGCCCTCTCCTGCTGACGGTGGTGTGCAGGGCTCGACACTGACTCACAGCGCTGACAGGACTGCACCAAGACAGGGCAGCGAGAGGGGACGTTTCCCTGGTAGATGCAAAAATAAATGCACATAACAAGATGAGTTTTAGACTAAACCTAAAACAATTGTATTATGCTACTTCTAAAATGTCTAGTCCTTTTTTTCAGACCAATAAACTAATTTGAGTGACTGCTGGTTTGTGGCAACCAATGACATTTAGTTATTATTTGTTAATCTATAGATTATTTATTTTAGATTAATAAATACATTGTGTAGTCTTTACATTTTCAGAAAAAACTATTGAAAATGTCTTTAATCAAGTGTAATATATATCTCGTTTTGATAGCCAAAAACCCGAACGCGTTCAGTTTAGCCAATACAAATTAAATTACAAATGCAAATTCAAAATATAATTAGAAAAAGGCAATAGAAGTTTGAAATTGCTTTTTAAATTAAATAAATAATAGGATTTATTTTAGGGTTTGTCAGATACGTGCTCTGTGTGGTCTGTGTGAGTTTAAACTACATTGATTGGCAATACCTCCCATTGAAAACATAATAATTGAAACTAGAATTTCATGACTTTTATTCAGAAACCAAATAACTAAACCCATGACTATTTAAGTTAATCCAATGTCAATTAACTCAACACAAGTCTGCTGGTGGCATAATAAATGCAAGATGAAGAAGATGTCCAACCTTAATTTATTAGGACTGTTATTCATCGTATTGTATTAGCTAATGCCTCGTTAGTCGTTACCTTTCATATGTAATCACTGAAACACAATCTGTTAATGGGGAGCAGAGACATTATGAGGTCGGAACACGTTGACTTTAACGTCATTTATAGGTCATGTTTTACACACTGCAACAGTGTCCTACCTGTATAGATGAGGCTGGCATCTGGTCAAAGTGGCAGTACAATGCTTAGTATTTATCGCAGAAGATATCCTAAAGACATTTTGAAACTGCTTGCAAAGAGTCAAAACGCGTCCTGCTGAAGAGGACGCCGCCATCTTTCCCCTAGTCCTTTCCACATTACCCATCATGCATTTCTCAAGTTTTTTTATTTTGATTGTTTTATTTTTTTTCAATTATAAATATATGGCTGTGTTACAATATTACCATATGTATGTACACTACAACTAAAATAAAAATAAAAACAATATTACATTAAAATACAAAAATGGTTTCCTTTTCTCAACGTCATCAACCAATCAGAGCTCGTGTTATTGGACCGTCTCCAAGTAAAGATGGTGGGCATGAGTGTTCTCAGATCTGCTGCTGCTTTTGCAGCCAGATTGAGTCCTCTGAAATCTGGAAATAATGCGGCACAATTACTGTCTCGAATCATCCCACGCACAGATAAAGGTAAGAGATACCATGGCAGTTTAAAGAGGGAGTATGTTGACCCTGAAGCTGGCCGTCTCTTCTTGTGACCTTGCGCCGGAACTTTCTACCATGCTAATGTTAGCTAGCTGTTGTCCTGTTGTCAACGGAAAACGCAACGTGTAGGTTAATACTTCTAGTTACGTGTAGCTATATCGTATTTTGTCAGCATATCATTTTTGTAAGCCAACCTTCTTTCTGATAATGCCAATAGTGTCAGCCGGTGTAACACTTGCAGTGTAGTTTGAATAACACCTCTCCCCATATAACCATGTCATATTTCTCATACAAAAACATTGCAAAATTGTTTTAATTTACCCAATTAAAACAATCTGTCTAGTTGTATATCATGACCTTAACACCATAGTCATAACACTATCCTTTGCCTTTGTCTTGCAGTGGCCGTGCGTTTTGGTGGTGGTCATGGAAAGCAAATGTTTGTCGTCAAGTCCACTAGCTTCTACGACAGGAGATTTCTGGGCTTGTTGGTGAGTACTGAAACACCTTCTCATTAATTTTCTGTGATCATCACCACATCACAGTTATTAGATAACAAGATACATTCCAGCTACAGGCAATCTCCACAAACAGCCATGTTTAAATAGCAAAGGCACTTAAAAAGAGCCCTGCTGTACCTTCTTACTCATTTATTGTTTTTGACACTATAAGCCTGTAATACCAGTTTACTCACTTTTAGACCCCCAACAGTGTTTAATGTTGTATTCCTGAAGTTATCAGCACCTCTGTTCAAAGTTTTTGGAATTGGAATCCACTTTACCTGTTAAGCCCCAAGCCCCCGCCCCCTTGGGCTAAACGCAACATCTTGCAAGAAACAGAGTCTGAGGGCTTCTTAACATTTAACAACCTATTAATGTGTCATACCCACTTAACGGGAAGAAACTCAGCTACCTGACGATATGAACCATTTTTACCGAAACAAAACACAACTCTAACGCCAAGCCTCTGAATTAGCACTAAGCGAAAGAGTGCTAACGCACTTGGCACATAACTCACGGTAGAAATATTGTATACTTCATCGGATCTGCACAAACAATATATCATATGAAAGCTGGGTTCTATTTCGTATATGGCTTCGCCCTCTAAGGCTATCGCTATTGGGTAATCCCCCTGCGCCTCGCGCAGCACTGAAAACTTGTAGTCCACGCCCACCCGCAAGGTGGGCCCCACCCTCGGGCCTCCTTCCGGTATAAATAGGAAGGAGGCCCGGCAATCTGCTCCCTCTTTTCTTCAGCAAACCAGCACAGTTACTGAAGCACAGCAATTGAAAATCATCATGAGCAACAACTGCGTCCGTGATTGTCCCTCATGTGGCTCTGGGTTCATAATGAGTTATGACCAGCAGAGATAAAAGCAGTATGCGAATCCTGCCTGGGGTCAGAGCATGCGTACGCGGCTCTAAACCAGCAGGTAGCATGCACACACTCCGCCCGTCTCCCCTCGGGTGACAGGAAGCGGAGAGTGGACGCTCTTGCTGCTGCGGCCGAGGAGGACGATTGGCCCGTCCAGGCTTACGAGCCGCGGACGGGGCCTCGTGTCCCTGGGGCCGAGTGCCGGGCAGGAGTCCGAAGAAAAGCAACTCCTGCCCCGCCTCCCTCCACGGTTCACCGTGCGGTTCTCCCCCCCCCCTCCTCTCCTCCGGACGGGGGAGACAGAGTCGGAGCAGGGTGCCAGCTTGGCGGCCGAACATGCTTTCCCCCTCTCCGTCACCACAGCGCGGCGGCGAATAACATCGCGCTGCTCTCCAACTCGGTGGTGACAGTGGTAGAGCGGTCCACCACCGAGGCAGAGGAAATCAGCAAGGCGGCCAGCATGGCGCTCATTCTGTGCGCGTCCGTTGCTGTCTCCCAGGCCACCTCTAGCGGAAGCAGGCGTCTGTTACGGAGACGGCCAGAAAAGTGCTACTGGACGCTCCAATTAGCCCGGACGGGCTGTTCGGACCCCAGTTCCACGCCATGGTGGAGTCCATGAAGACGGCCGCGGAACAGGCGGACGGCATTCACCAGTATGTACAGCTGGCTCCAGCCTGCTGAGCGCCCACAGCGGCACCAACGCCCGCAGCAGCTGCGGCGTCCACGCCGGCCACAGGAGTCCGCAAGCGGAGCGACGCCCACAGCAACCGCCTCGGCAACAGACTCGCCCTTCGGTGGCTGCAGGGGCTCCGTCCCACGTCTCCGCTCCCCCACCACCCCAGAGACAGGGTCTCCCGGCGGCGAGTCAAAGGGGAGTGAGGCTCCCCCGCTCCTGGTCTGCTCCGCGAGAGCCTCCGAGAAAGCAGGGCCGGTAATTAAGCCGGCTGCCACTAATCTGTTGATTAAGTAGACGGCAGGGCTCCCTGCTGAAGCCTGCTGTTTTCAACCTATTATAGTTTATAAACTGCAGAGCTCGCGGCATTCCTCTGTCCCAGATATGCCTCCTATACACAGTCATAATAAATCCACGAGCACCGTTATAACGCCTCGTGTGGATAGCATACACACACCTCTCATCCTCTGGGCGTGTACGCGCCTCATGATGAGAGACGGAGTGAAATGCAGCGTGTGGAAACTCCCTCGCAGCCCTTTTGCCTCACGGGCAGCGGCGGCGATGGCGTGGCTCGTCACCATGATGACCATTACGGCACATCACAGAGAAGCCTCTCCCCCCAGCAGTTCAATGGGATACAATAAACACTCCTGTCCTCCCAGGAACAGTGTCTTGCGCAGTTTTTACCCCCGCTATTTTTCTAAATCTCAGAAAAGAACGGGGGAGTCGTCCCGTTGCTGTACAATCAAACATGTGTTGATTTGCACAGACAACAGGCCACGGCTATGGAAGCAGCCTACCTCGATCGCCAGGGAGGAGTACGATCTGCGCAGCTTCTGAACGCAGCCAGGCGGCTGCTGTTCTGGGCGCGCACACACGTTGCTCTCCATCAGAGCAATGTATATTCCCGGCGAAATTAACAGAGGGGCTCGCAGAACGCAGCAGCCGTTGTATGCGAGGAGTATGGAGACTCAGACCTGTGTCACGCACACTGGCACCTCAGTGGGATTTGGCTTTGGTGTTACGCGCACTAAAGCAAAGCCCCATTTGAACCTGATCAGGTTCCCCTTAAACTGTTATCAGCCAAAGTAGTACTGCTTTTGGCTCGATCAGAAAAAAGGGTGAGTGATTTGTCTGCTCTCTCTGTGGCTCCGTCATGTCTCCGGATCCAAGTAGATGGCAGTTCAGCTGTTTTACGCCCTAACCCGGCTTCATGCTTATGGTCATCACAACTCTTTTAGGTCAAGAGTGATCACCCTGGCTGGCTTATTCCCCCCTCCTTATAGGTCGGAGGAAGAAGCCACGTCTCATCTCCTCTGTCCTGTGCGCGCGCTGTCTTGCAGGACAGCTGTCACATTGGCTGTGTGAGGCTGTGTCACAGGCATATGTCTCCTCTGGGGTGGAGCCCCCGGAGAACATCAATGCGCACTCCACCAGAGGAATTTCCTCCTCCACGGCTTTGCACGGAGGAATGTCAGTGGAAGATATTTGCACTGCTGCATCTTGGTCTTCCCCCTGTTCATTTATTCATTTTTATTTGAGGGATGTCTCCCATTCCTTTCTGACACACCCTGTACTGGGTGTCCTGTCGGAGTGAGTGACGTCAGGGATCCAGCTGGGCGCTCTCCTACCTGTCTGACACGCAGAGAGCTGCTGTTCCCCCTATGATTGCTGGGCAAGGTGGGACCTTCGTCTCTACTTTCTCACAGCGGCCGGTATGTATTGTTCCCAGGCTTCACCCCGTCGGGAAGATAGGCATGTTTTGCTATGTTCCAGGGACGGTGATGCGCCATTACGCATGGCACAACAGGCAGGGAGTGTTATTGAGCAGGTGTGTCTGTGCTTCTAGTGCCGGGCGGACCCAGTGGGGCGCAGACTACATCATGCTTCGCCCTTAACTAGGGATGCACGATAATTATCGGCCCGATAATTATCGGTCCGATATTAGGAATTATGACGTCATCCCGATAAACCCGATACCAGTATTAATAGCCCCGATAATATACAATATATTTTTTGGGTAAAAAAAAAGGAAAAAAATACTGCGGTGTGGGTGGATTGGGATGAGGGGCGCTTGTTTTTTACTCAGCTCCTCCCGTTTTGCCAGTACTGTGGTATTAGTGGTTTAGGAAGAGGGGAGTTCTTCACAAATCCAGCGCTCCCTAACTCATGCCTGGCTGTGACGGCTGTGCGGCCGTGAAGCCAGGACAGTAAACAAACATGTCGTCGGTGGTATGGGTGTTGGAGCTATGTGCAACTCAAGGCATATGCTCGAACCGGAGCTGCCTGGACGCTGCAATCATGGACGCACTATCCGTGCTGAGTCTGCTGACTTTTCGTACAATGTCCCACTGTCTGGCTTCCTGCATAAAGTCAAGTGCTCGGCGCAGTTGTGGCGAAATGTCGCTCCTCTGTTTTCATTTAAACAGCTCCTTATATCCGTTAGCGCAGCTAGCTAGCACCAGATGCTAACAACAACAATGCACGTAAGATCTCTCTCTCGCTCGGGCCACACATACACACACCCTCCCGGTCCTCCAGATGGCCAGTCGGTGCCTGCCGGTGAGCGTGGAAGTGTGGTCTGCCACAAGCGTGCGGCAGGAGCGGGGCTGTCAGCATCAGCTTGTAGATGGTATTTTAAACTCGATGCGCTCTGAAACTACGGGGCGGCCGAGGAAAAAAAATACACATGCGTTAATCGCGTTAAAATAATTAGTGGCGTACATTTTGTATTATTATTGGTCTTGAGAAGCAGGAAGTTATCGGTATCGGTTTCAAAACCAATATCGTGCATCCCTACCCTTAACCCAATAGCGATAGCCTTAGAGGGCGAAGCCATATACAAAATAGAACTGAAGTTACCTACTGTAACCCCAGCTTCTATGAATAAATGGCGCAGCCCTCTGTGCTGGGCCCCATTGGTTCCACGAATAGCTGAAGAAAAGTTATGTTGTATGGGAGCAGATTGCCGGGCCTCCTTCCTATTTATACCGGAAGGAGGCCCGAGGGTGTGGCCCACCTTGCGGGTGGGCGTGGACTAAAAGTGTTTCAGTGCTGCGCAGGGGGATTACCCAATAGCGATAGCCTTAGAGGGCTGCGCCATTTACTCATAGAAGCTGGGGTTACAGTAGGTAACCTCAGATTCCACATATTCCAATGGTATAAGTATCATCACTCCACGACCAAAACTTGCGGCAGCGACACCAGACAACACACATTTTTAGCTTTACGTAGCCAACATTTCAAGTACGTCTTACCTTTGCTGTTTTCTGATCAAAAGTTGTGTTCAATGGCATTAAAATGCATAAAAACGCTGATGAAGGTTAATCCAATAGGCGTGTTCACACCGCAGTACTTTTCCCACTTTAGTTCTGATATAGTTCCGAAATGTCGCGTTCACACCAAAAAGAGCCGGAACTAAAATTAGTTCATGAGAACCTTTTTACCCTCTTCTAGAGAGCAAGTACTTTCGTGGGAGAAAAAGGTTCCCATTTCTGATTGGCGGGGCGGAATGCAAACCACGCCCCGTAAAACTCAGCAGCTTCTACTGAAGCCAGTCCCCAACTCCGGGTACTTCCGGCCGGGGACTTCGGGTGGCAATATACGCGTGAAGTTGTTTGAGGCCTGCCAGTAAACCCAAAGCAGAAGAAGAAGAAGTGACGTCAGCGGCTTCATTTGCCTAATCCTCCCACAGGGACTTATTCCGGTGTGAACGCGATCTGTACTTAGTTCATGAGAACTAAAGAGTTCTCATGAACTAAGTTCTGATGAACCTTTGTGGGCAAAGTACTGCGGTGTGAAAGCGCCTAATGTCTCTGTGAAACTTTGAAATGATTACTGATAATCCAGCATAACATTTATGTCAATAACCGGAGTTGTTTGATCATTCTCAATGTCACATTTATTTTTTTTATTTATCCAAAAAATATTTGCATATTGGTTCGGCAATAGAAAAAGCTTCCACACTTACAATTTGAACGTTACATGATGTAAATAGATATCCAGCCATGCAATTATCAAACCCAGAGTGGACAGTATTTCGAATCTAACAATTACTCCTGTGCTGGTAGTTTCTATGATATAAAAGTGTAATATAATGAAAAGCAATGCATACAATGTCAACTAGTTTGCATCTAAATAATTATTGCTGACCTGTTGGCTTTGTGACAGCTGTAGCCGTGACCTTGATCCAATGTCATGCTGAACATTGGACTATTTTCTGTATTTACTTTTATCTTCTTTTCCCCTCTCAGAGATATTACCTTCTGCTGACTGGCATTCCTGTGGCTATCATTATTACTAGTGTGAATGTCTTCATTGGTAAGTAGGAATATACTGTATATCTTCAAGTTTCAGGTGTATCTTCTTCAATTTAAAGATATGGATTTGTCACTAAAAAAATGTAGATACATGTTACTTTGTATTTAAATTTGAGTTTGATTGTGTTGTAAAGGTCAGGCAGAGCTGGTTGAAACTCCTGAGGGCTACGAACCTGAGTACTGGGAGTACCACAAGGTAAGTCTTAACTAGCAGCTTATCTCATACACACTTTCAGGAGGCTTTTTGTGTCACTGATCTGGACCCTTGGAAGGGAACAATGGGCTCAAGCATGGTTTACATTTGGAAATAGAAGTCATTACCTATATGCCTTTTTAAATTACAAAGCCTATAAGATGAGTTGGCCTTTGGTGAATGCTTAATGAGTAATATCATACCAAATATTTTGTGCTTTTATTATCTAAACAGAGTTTTATACTTGTATATATTTCAGAGAGCAGCATATGCACAATTATCCTATCATTCATGTGGTAATATTGAGAGAAAAGTAAAAGGATAAAATCATATATCGTCACTTGCACTAAATCTACTTTATAAAGTCATCAATCATCATTTTCAATTCAGCTGCAAAATCTGTTATTGTTTATTTGATGTAATATAGAAGTAGTCATTGAAAATCGTTTTGCATTCTGTCTTGCAGCACCCCATCACCAGGTGGATCGCACGGACGTTGTTTGACTCTCCAGTGAAGGACTATGAGAAGATGATGGCTGTAATCCATAACGAGAAAGAAAAGTCCGACTTGAGGTGAATTTGAGTGCTGCTGTGTTATTTCGTTACTTCTCCTTTGTGAAGGTCAGAGTGAAAATGTCCTTATGTTGTATTTAGTGCAACTACTGCTTATAGCTTGCAGAAGTTAGGTGGTAATGCTATAATGCATTTTTCCTTTGAGTGTTTCAGATTCCCTCATTAAAAACGTATGAGCAACATTTTTCTACATGTTGATAACATTTAATGAAATATCTATATAATATCTTTGTTTTCTGAATGGCTATTATTGTAACAAGTGTCCAGACGCACTGAGGCATCCAGGGAGCAGTGTGACAGTTTGTCCGATCACAAAAGGTTTCCTTTTGTTAAAAGGGATTCTTGTTTGTCAGCTGCTCTACTTTGCACTCAGTATGTCGATACATTTATATCATAGCCATTTGTATAGTCATCAATTTATGAATGTATTAAATATAATTTAAAATGTATCTTGTCAAACTTGAATGTATTCATTGTTACACACCAACAATTTATTTTAATGCTCATTAGGACTCTATACAGTTCACAAGTTTTGTTTCTACAATTATATTTTTCATGGCTTTGGGACTTGTAGCACTATTCTGGGAATCACACCTTGCTCTTTTCTGTTATCTATGAATGATGATTTCATTAATTCCCTGCGTGTTTGTTGTCAACAGACTGACCCAGTTGGAGGTGAGTCGACGGATGAGGATGAAGGGAGACGGCCCCTGGTTTCAAACCAACACCCCCGAGAAGGATTTAATTGACTACGGCCACAAGTCAACACCTGACAATTAATCTATCAGTACATTCTGCCGATCAGTCTCACTGTTTGTACATTTTTTCCCTTCTCACGTAAATAAAGTATCTATATCGACTCCCAATATTTTTTGTTTTACAGTGTCTTTTTGGCTCCATTCTACAAACGAAACGTTTTACCTTGAGATTAAAACCTTACCACTTAAAACAGACGAGTAGTGCAATCTTGAGACTTTTAATGTTGACCGTAAGGTTTTAGCAAGTTTTCTTCAACATTTTAAGGTAACTCTGTGAGTGATTTATAACAAATAGTCATATTGAGGCTGCAGTATTCCTTTAAATCATAAAGGAATTCCTTTAAATCGTTGTGAATAAGGTTACATTGCTGAGCAGGGAGGCAAGTTATTTATTTTGTGAAATCTGAATGTCATCTCCTTGTCTCTTGGTGCTTCATCTCGGTCAAAGATCATTTTTATATTAATTTCATCCATTTGTTTATTCAACCTAAGCATCCTAAGGGATGAGGACTGCAAATGAATTAATGTATAACATATATATATCGTACAAGTTCACACATGACATTTAACTTTATGGAGGTGTCCTAGATAGGTTGCATTTCTAATTCATATATAGCCCTGTTAATCTGTACTGTGCACAAATGGATACATAGCATTTTAACATCACGTGTGATCCACAAGGAAGTTGGCAGGCAACACAAGTCTCTCAAGGACACACTCACTGTAGGCAACGGGATACGGTTTTGGAAAATATATTGTTTCTTTTTTTTGCAATAGAGGAGAGAGTCCACCTGGTGGCGGAGCTGTTCAGACATGATTGTTTGTAACTGACAAAGAACATTTGTATGTATAAGATGCACTCATGTAACCTATTTGCTGAATATATTTTTGATGCGACTACAATTTATTATGAGCGAAAAAGGCTACTGAGAAATCAAATTGAATGTATTTTTTAAATGTAGCCCGCCTAATACATAGTGTCAGAGCCCCTTATTGTGCTTTTAGGGTAGGCTACTGCGAGTGGTATTTATTAAACCAAAGTGCACTTCATATTTATGCTTCTCCTGGATCCTGGAGGGGAAACGCTTTAGTAAGTGTGGGTGGCTTTATGAATCATCCTCTGAGGTGGGAGGGGCCCCTCCGGTAAAACATCCCGTGTACAAAGCGTCACCACAGTCAACAGAAGCAATGTCATGTCTTCGCAGGTCTAAGATTTCTGCATGGTGGAATAAAAGGAAAACAACCAATAACGACAACATTAGCCTCCATGCTTCGAGCGTTGCTGCCGGTGTAGCAGACCAGCCTCCACCCCTCTGTCATTTTATTTGTATGTCTTTCAGCGTCACATCCCCCTGGCTGGAGGAATGTAGAGACGGAGGGATTTAAAAATAGCATCCTCTCCTTTGACACTCTGCTCCGGGGGCTCCGCAGCACTGTGGTGCGAGAAGCAGGAATGCGAAGATGGCTGCAGACCTCGGAGAGCTGCTGGTCCCATACATGCCCACCATCAGAGTGCCCAGGACCGGGGACAGGGTTTTCAAGAGCGAGTGCGCCTTCTCCTTCGACTCTCCCGTAAGTGTCCGCACAAACACGCCGAGACAGGAGCGTGTTGTCCGTGGAGGGTGACGCGGGCTGACAGTCGCATTTAATGTAATGTGTGTTTATGTGTCTCTATGACTACATTCCCCCTGAACTTGGGAGAAAAATAAATAATTACATGTTGTTTACATCTCAGGAGAGGGATGGAGGTGCTTCCCTTTGTGCAGTTCAGGCCACATTAAAACACACAGGCTAACACACCTGCGTGTAGCCTTGAACTAATTAAATGAAGTGTTAGCTGCCCTGTCAGGGTGAAGCTAGTGTGTGTGAGTTTATAGCCACATGTATGTTGTTTTGTAATTTATAAGGCCTCTAAAGTTGACTCGGTGGTGCTTAACTGGAAGTTTGTAATCTCAGGAAAATATTTACATTATGCTCGTTGTAACTGAGAATATGTTATAGGGATTTTTAAAATATGAATTGTGCGAGTTAGCCTTTAGTGGCCTATTAAAGCTAGTTTATGTTGTGATGTAAAGTTACATTTCTCATCAATAGTGCATGGTTGTACAATTAATTATCTAAAATGCATGCTATCCATGAAAGTTTTTGTTATCCTTACTTGACTATAACTCAATAATGAGTTTTAGTGGCCTTCATAGTAGAAGTGGTAGCCTACAGTATTTTTTACGTTGTTGTAACACCATGTGTCACTATAAAGTTTTGATCCAAAAGTTTTCAATATTTTTTTCATTTTCTGTTTTTTTTGTGTATGAGAAAATAGCGATAAGGCTGCAAATATCAATATTTTGATTTATATAGTTTAAAAAACGTTTGATCTGTGAGAATACATAGATTGTATGACCTTCCCTTTAAGTTGTAAAGACTAATTTGTCGACAGACTGACAGACAGTCAGAGTTTTTGATTCTTCTACATACAGCATAAAAACCTACTTTCTCGACTTTCTGAAACCGTTTTTAAAGGTGACTCAGCTGTCTGGAGTTCATCATGTTGGCTGAGGGTCGGTTTATTTTTATCCTAGTGCTGTTGAAGCTCATATGTCACTCTGGGCCACTTAAAGGTTTATCACAGGGGTTTATACGGCCCACACTGATTGCAGATTTAGGTTAGTTTTGAGATGGTATTCTTCAAGTATCTTGTCTCTGACTGTCCATGTGTGAAAATACCGCAGGATGTTTCTTTCCCGTAACAATAAAACCCCATCCTGCATTTTCAAACACTTTAAATGTGAGCCACTAGTCACATGCAGATGAAATAATCATACCTTTTGTATCCTGTAACAAGTTTCAGATACTGTAAGTCAATCTAAGATGAGACATGTGTGGGCTTGAGTCTTCATGGACTCAGCAGTTCTTTGAGGAATAAGGTTACTGTGTTTTTAAACCTGCAGTACCCCGGTGCCTCAAAAGCAAAGAGGAATACTTGAACTTAGATTGAGCTACATTAAATTCATAATTGTGTAGCTGTGTGTAAGATGCACATTCCTGAGTTAAAACAACAGTAACAGCAACATTCACATATCGCATTGCTTGTATGTAACAAGATATCACAATCTTGAGATATTGTCCGGCTAGAAATATTCTTTAAAATGGTGGAGATTCTTTTTATTTACAGCATTAAAACAAAACGGGCTAATAAGCAGCAGGCATTTTCTTGAGTACAACTTTTTTTTCTGTGTAAGAATGCTGAAACCAATTTTTTGCTGTTTGACAACATGCAAAAATAGAAAGGCTTTTTGACTGTGTGTTTGCAGAATCATTGTCACACATCTCTTAAATATACTCTTTACATCTTGTGCTACAATTTTGTAACTAGTGCCAGATATGTGGCCAAAGTATCAAAATCCCTATTAAAATGTAGCCTTAACGTTGAGCAATCTTTGCTTTAGCTGAAATAATAATATTTACCCTATTTTCCCTGTAAAATATTTGAAGTATTCTTCTGTGTGTCAGACAAGGCAATACAAAATAGAATATATGTGCGGATATATATTTATATACAAGTAGAATAAAGCTGCTTTCTGGCTACTGCAATATAAAGATAGAAGTCTTATTTTACTATATGGTAGAATAGAACTTTCTGCATTTCTGTTTTCCATGTGATAAATGAGCTGTGTTGATGGTGCTCCACCCCGTGCTGCTGCTCATTGTTACTGTTTGTTTTGGTCTGCAGGAGTCAGAGGGAGGCCTGTATGTGTGTATGAACACATTCCTCGGCTTTGGACGAGAACATGTGGAGAGACATTATCGCAAAACAGGACAGAGCGTTTACATGCACCTCAAACGACACGTCAAAGAGGTACGTTTTACCCCGGCCCTGTGTGTTTATTTGGAACTGATTTTTTACTGGCACTTGTTGTTAAGAATGAGAATAATAATCTTTATTTACACATGGCTTTTAAAAAGCACATTTCAAAATGGTTTTGCAATTGATAAAACCAGTATACAGAAAAGCAAATGAAAGACATCAACTTAAATGTGAACATTTTGAAATCTTGATGCAGATTTGTGACCAGCTAGATCTCAATTACACTTACATTAGAAATACATTTTGGTAAACTGATTAAATTCAAACTTGGTATTGCACACATATCTAATACTCTTTGAGAGTCTCACAACACATGGGAAAAGGTGTATGGTAGAATTGGACAAATGGTTAAACTTTAACCCATATTTAAATAATAATAATAATCAAATAAAATAATAATATTACAAATAAATGAGCCTTAAGAAGCAGTATACTGTTAAAAAATGTGATAAATGGTTAACACCCTACTAATGTTTCCTAATGTATTTTGAATTATAATCAATACTAATATAGTAATATCCTCAACCCTTCATAAAAGTTATAATTGTTGACTCAATATTGTACATTGTTAAATGAAAATAATAAATGTCTTTGCTTAAAACTCAATCAGTACTGAACGGTGCTTTAGATAAAAAGGTACACTGTGTGTCCTGGTTTGCTGATACCACGATGCTGTTATTTTAAACATCAGTGATTAAATTACACGAGTGCATATTCTTGGAGCTCGATTGCTTGGTCATCAACGTTTAATTAAAGAAAGAGGAATATATAAACTCTGTTTTAGCATGCGTGATAACCCTCAGACTGAAACATGACTGAGGGTTTTTAGCGCTTTGTTTTGCATTCAGTGAATCGCTTTGTCTGTTCTGTTGGTAGCACTTTATTTTAAGTTCCCTCGTTTCTTTATAATATAAATACTATTAAATTAGAGATGTTAACATTTAGTACACTTCCATTAAATAATAGAGTGTCATATAGTTAGTTTGCAGCGGGTCAGCTTAACATGCAAAAACATGATTTGTTTTGAAGGCAAGCATACAGTTCCAGTGACTGTGTATAGAGACTTAAGTTTCAAATGATAAACAAACAGTGAATGAATATTTGCTTGGGTTTAAATGGAGTGTTAGATTTTGAAGTTCCTTTTTCCCTGTTAATAGTACCAATTTAGATAGTGCTTTCCATAAAACGTCTATAAAGACTATCAAGGAAATGTTTTGAAATTATACATTTTTGAGATAGAGTT